GGGGGGGGGGGGGAGGGAGGGGAGGGATGAATCAGCTCAGGAGGGATGAATCAGCTCAGGAGGGGTGGGTGGTGAGGGGTGGGGCCAAGCGGGCCAGCAAGGAACCCAGGCCAGGCCACAGGCGCAGGCGCACGACGCCGGCGCCAGAACGGCCGCGCGGGCCCGCCGGCCGGGGCACGGCCCGCTGCGGTGCGCGGGGCGGCCTGCGCGGGCCCTCACCGGTAGTAGAGAGGCCCGCCGCTGAGCCCGATCTTGGCCGCACACTCAATCTCCAGCATGCTGCGCCGGTCCACGCCCGCTGCAGGCGCAGGCAGAGGAGGGGGGCCAGGCGTGAGGGGAGCCGGGGCGGGCGCGGTCGGCAGGCAGGCAGGGGAGGCGGCCCCCAGCCGCATTGCCAGCCCGAGCCACAACCCACGGCTGTGTAGGGCCCCCGCACAACACCCACACTCCCCTCCCCCCCCCTCTCTCTCTCTCTCTCTCACACACACACACACACACACACACACACACACACACACACACACACACACACACACACACACACACACACACACACACACACACACACACACACCACCACCACCCACCCACCACACAAACCACACCACCGCCGCCACCCACCCACCCGCGATGTACGAGTCCACGGCGGCGTTGAACAGCTCCATGCGGCGCTGCTGGTCCTCCAGCGTGATGCTGTCCTGCTGGTAGTGGCCGTCGGGCAGGAAGTCGACCTGTGGGGGCGGGAGGAAAGGATGGGAGGAAAGGATGGGAGGAAAGGATGGGAGGAAAGGATGGGAGGAAAGGAGGGGAGGAAAGGATGGGAGGAAAGGATGGGAGGAAAGGATGGGAGGAAAGGATGGGAGGAAAGGATGGGAGGAAAGGATGGGAGGAAAGGATGGGAGGAAAGGATGGGAGGAAAGGATGGAGGGAAGGGGGGGTCGCATGAGGGAGGAGGGGCAGTGGTGACGGTCAGGAAGGGCCGTGGAGGTGTGAGCAGCGGCGCGAGCAGGCGTCGGCTGCCCGCCGCGGCTGCCGCGCGCGCTGCCCAACCTCTGCCCAACCTGCCACAGCCCAACCTCTGACAGCCGCACACACGTGCCCACGCGGCCACACACCCACGCAGGCGCAGCCACAAACGCACGCAGGCGCAGGCGCAGGCGCAGCCACCGCACACGCACCTGGCCCAGGGCGTGGTAGAAAGCGGGGTCCATGAGGCCGCCCTCCAGCAGCGTGTGCGCAATGGCGCGCAGCGGCTTCTGCTGCTGCTGCGCCGCCGCCGCCGCCGCCTGCTGCTGTTGCTGCGCCGCCGCCGCCGCCGCCGCTGCCCAGCGGGTTCCACCCGCCGCCCAGCCCCACCGTCACTTGAGGGTCGCTGCGGGCCGAGAGAGGCGCTGCGGTCACCGGATCTGCCGCCGACAGGCCGTTCTGCTGCTGGTGCGCCGCCAGCGGGGCGATGCTGACGGGCGGCAGCGAGCGCGGCGACAGCACCGCCTGCTGCTCCATGGCCGCCGCCGCCGCCGCCGCGGAGCGCGGCGACAGCGCCATGGGCGGCGGCGGCGGCGGCGGCTGGTCCAGCGGTGGCGGCGGCGGCGGCGGCGGCGGCAGCAGGCCGCCGGGCCCCAGCTGCAGCGCGCCGTCGGCGTCGCCGCCGTCGGCGGCGGCGGACGCCGCCGCCGCCTCCTGCTGCGCCTGCTGCGACTTGAGCAGCGCCTGGCGGAAGCTGACCCCCGGCTGCATGATCGCGCTGGGCGGCGGCGCGGTCGACGCCTTGTCTGCCACGCCGTTTGCCGCGGTGGCGCCGCCCTCGGAGGCAGCAGAGCCCGAGGATCCGCCGGCCACCGGCGTGCTGTCGCCGCTGCTGGTGGCGGCGGCGCGGCCGTTGGCGGGCGGCGGCGCCTTGCCGGCGCCGGCGCCCGCCGCCAGCTGCTCCTTGCTCCAGCTCAGCTGCTCGGCGGTGGGGTTTGCGATGGGGTCGTCGGGCTTGGGCAGGTTGGCGGGGATGGCAAAAGGCGGGTGCGGGAAGCGGCACTTGGAGATGTTGCACTGCCCGCGCACCCACTCGCGGCACGGCGGCGCCTGCCCGCACTTGCAGCTGTCCCACAGCTTGTGCACCTTGCCGCAGTCGCACTGCCAGTGGCCCAGCCACGTCACTATCGCCATCTCCTTGGGCCCAGACTGCTCGGCCGCCAGCGCCGCCGCCGCCGCCTGCGCCGCCGCCTTCTGCTTGGCTGCTGCCGCGGGTGGGTTGGCGATGGGATCTGCGGGCTTGGGCAGGTGCTCCGGGATCTTGAAGGGCGGGTGCGGGAACCTGCGGGGGCGGCGGCGGCGGCGGCGGCGCAGCAAGAGTGAGCGGGCGCCACGGGGGGAGCGGCGGGCTGCGGGGACGGCATGGCTGCACGCGGCCGACCCATCCCGGCGCCGCTCCTGCAGCACGCTGGGGCTCCTTCCCGGCGCCACCCTGATGCAGGGCTGGCAGGGAGGGGCCGGCTGCTTCCGCGGCTGCGTGCCAGGGCTGCAGGCGGGGCCCGCCGCGGGCGGACGCACCTGCACTTGGGCAGCAGGCAGTTGCCGCGCACGTACTCCCTGCAGGTGCCCCCCGGGGCGGGTGTGGGCAGGTGAGCAGCAGGCAGGGTGAGAGGGAGGGGGCCGCTGGTCATGCGGCTGCCCTGGGAGGCCAGCTGACTGCTGATCGGGCGCGCCCAGCCGCCTCCTCCTCTGCCCCAGCCCTCGGTGCAGCCTTGGCAGGCGCTGCCGCCGCTGCCAGGGCCCACACGCCCCTACGCACCGGCATGGGGAGGGCTGCGAGCACACGCAGGTGTCCCAGAGCTTGTTGGTGCTGCCGCAGCTGCAGCGCCAGTCCCCGTTCCACCCAATGACGGCCATGGTGCCCTTGGCGCGGGTCGCCAGCGGCATCGTGTCAGAAGCCTGATGCGGGCTGGGCGGCGCCCTCTGCCTCTCACGCACTGCTGAGGGGCTGCAAAAGTGGCGCTGGCGGCCGACTCGGGGGCCATTGGCCTCCGCTCCAACGCCTTTCCAGCCGTTCCCCTTTCCAAACCGAGCCCCGCGCTGCATTTTCAGGGCATCGGGCGCAATCGCCATTGCTGGGGCCGTCCGTCAGGGGGCCAGGGGCCCAGTCAGACCTCCAGGGCATGGACATGCAAGTGCAGGTCCTCCAGATAGAGGCTGTGGACGGCAGGGGATTTGGGCAGCTGGTTGCCCGGTGATAGGCCGACTGCGCGGGTGCACCAGCGAGCCGACGGCCGCCACCGCTTGACCACCCTGCCGCCAGAACCGCTGGCCGCCGGCGGGTGTCCACACCAGCCCAGTTGAGGACAGGTGTGTATGAAAGGGGCTGCTGTGGGAAGAAGCAGCTGCACTCCAGGTGAACCTTCGGCACTGGTGAGTTTAAGGGCAAGCAAGCAGCTGTGGTGGAGCCCGGGCGTGGAGCCGGCAGCGGGGGGGCCTCATCAGTCATCCCTGCTGACGCGGTGGCTTTGGGAGCGCAGTTACAGCAGCGCCAGCTGGAAGATTGCACGAGTTGTTGCTAGCAAGCGAAACGATGAAAAGTCAGGGCAGGTACGGACAGAACTTGTTGGCAGTGAGGGAGCACGCAAGGGGAGAGGCTCCCAGCCTGGGCCGCCGCCACGGCGGAGTCGGCAAGCAGCCGCAGCCTCGGCAGCTTGATGGGTGCTGCGCCTGGGCTCACGTGCCCTCACACCATGGAGGCCGCCGCCTGCTCGCTCTTGGCCTGGAAGGCGTGGGCGTTGATGGGGACCTCGGGCTTCTGGCCGGCGGCGGCGGGGGGGCCGGCAGCTGGAGCCTTCTGGCAGCAGGTGGTGGTGAGGGCGCACCCTGCAGCAGTGGGGGTTGCTGTTGCAGCATGCGGGCCCAGAGGGAAGCTGTTGGAAGGCACGCACAGGGTCCGGTTGTGAATGTGCAAGGGGGCCCAGGCGGCGCAGCTCACCCTCGCGGCGGTCCACACCCAGGAAGAAGGCCAGCACGATGTTGGCGAAGCAGGAGATGAGGGCGCCTGCAGCGTGGTGATGCTGGGGGAGTGAGAGTTGAGTGTGTGTGGGGGGTGGGCGTTGAGGGGGCTCTCTGGCATGCAGCGCAGCTCAGCACGTGGCACCCAATGGGCGCTGGCGGCGCCCAGCACCCGACACCACCCGCCCCACCTGCGAAGGCGGTCTGTGCGGCGCGGGCCGTGGTGGGGAACAGGGCGCTGTCGGTGTTGTAGCTCATGAGCAGCCAGGTGTGCCCCAGAGGCCCCAGCCAGCAGACAGCCGTCACCAGCAGCGCCAGGGCGCCCAGCCGGGCGGCGCCAAGCTTGGCCCAGCACAGGGCGCACGAAGCGATGGCCACCGAGGCCCAGTTCATGAAGACCACGAACCAGGCCCAGCCCTGCGGGGGGAGGAGGAGGGGAGCGCTTCGGCGGCCAATCACGCAGCCTGGATCGATGTGTGCAGCGGGGCTGCAAGCCCTCCAGGCAGGGCCCAGCAGGTGCAGGCATGCCCACGAGCTCACCAGGGTGTGGGAGCATGAGGAGTGGACAGGGATGCCGGAGAGCAGGAAAAGCTCAGAGCGAGCAATCTCGGGCACCTCTGCGGGCAGGCGGCGACAGACGGCGGCAGGCGGCGGCGGTCAAACGTCGGTCAAACCTGATGCTTGCTTCCTGGGACCAGCCGCGCCTCCCAGCCCTGCTACAGGGCCCTGGCGACCCCACAGCCCTCACCATCTGAGTTGCAGGCTGCATTGGAGGCAGCCTGCAAGGGCGTTGACTGGCGGCTCAGCACAACAGAGATGGTTTGTGCAAGACAGCGGCATCCAGGGCGTGCGACATCGCACGCGAGGCCACGCCACTCACGATTCCAGAGAGGTAGACAGAGGCGCCAGCCACCGCCAGGGTGATGGCCACAGCCGTCGCCTTGCAACACGCCATATTGTGTCTGGTGGCTTGAATAAAGGAGGCTATGCGGCAGGCGGGAGATCAAGGAGTGGAGTGGTGCTAAAACAATGGGCTACAGCGAAAGTTTTGCACTCGTTGTGCGTGCTCCGCCTGAAATGCTCCATGCACGAGTGTTGCCTTCACGCAGGAGGCCCAAACCCCGCTCATTCGACCCTGCTGGAGCCCCACAGGCCCTCAGCTGGCATGCTGGTGGCCAGGCGGCTGCAGCGCCAAGGGCGCGCATCTGCAGGAGCGGCCTGGCGGCTGCAGGAGCAGCAGCAGCACTGCAGGCAATGCCTGAGCACCTCCCCCGGATCGAAGGATGCCCCCGCTTGGGTTCTGCTGCAGCGGGAGGGCGGCGCCGCCACCGCGGCGGTGGGCAGCGGCACAGGTGCGGCCTCTGCCCACACTCAACACCGCAGCACCCCTGCATTGCCCTACCCCGCGTGAAATGTACCTTTTGTACCTGTGGCCCCTGATCCAGGCACTGTGCAGCTGGAGCGGCGAAACGAGGACGGCAGCCAGGCCGGCGGCGGCGCGCGTCTGTCGCTGGGCCGCCTGCGGCACGCGGCGCTGGCTCAGCTGGCAGCCACCTTCCTGCCCGCGGGATACCCCAAGACAGTCGCGCCCGGCTACCTGCGCAACACACTGTGGCAGGCGGCGCACCACACAGCAGGGTCCGCCAACGGAGGTGGGACTCATGCGGCATGGCCTTGCTTGGCCCACGAGCACCATCCCTTGACCTGCCTAGTGCCTCCAGCCGGCGACGCTGTCGCAGCAGGGCTGGGCTCTCGCGCTTCCGCACGCGCCTCCCTCGCCTCCCTCCCTCCCTGCAGTGCTGGCCTCCACCTTCCTGCTGTACTCTGTGGGGCTGGGCGCGGGCGCCATCCCCACCGCGGGCGCCCTCAACTGGGTGCTCAAGGACGGGCTGGGCCAGCTGGGCACGCTGCTGTTTGGCAAGACCATCGCCCACAACTTTGATGTCTCGCCCCGCGCCTGGTACCTGCTGGCCTCCGCCAAGCTCAACCTGGCCATGGGGTGAGGCGGCCGGCTGTGGCTGGGGCAGACGCGGGGATGCAGGGGGCGGCTACGCACGAGCGCGCGGCAGCGCACACAGTAGCTAGCCGCTGGTGCCCCTTGCGCCATTTCGGGCCGTGCTGCCTGCTGTGGTCGCAGAGCATGTAGTCGTGGCCTGTTGTCTGTCCACCTCTGCCTGCCTGCCAGCTAGGCCCGCCTCCCCACCGCCACCACTGCCCCGCCCCGCATGCCCGCAGCCTGGAGATCTGCACCTTCCTGCTGCCCGCCTACTTTCTTCCCGTGGGCGCTCTGGCCAACGCCATAAAGGGCCTCTCCTGGATGGCGGGAGGCTCCACCAAGTCGGTGTTCAAGGTGCGGCAGGCACCGCGGGAGGCCAGAGGCGGTGAAGCGTTGCGCCGTGCATGCGCCCGCGGCGGCCGGAGGCACCTGCCTAAAATGGCGGCGGCGCCGGCATATCCCTGCCTCCCCAGCTTGCCCGACTGCGAGCGCCTGTGCCTCACATGTGCTGCACATGCCCTGCAAACAACCGTACCGCTGTACTGCAGGTGTCCTTTGCCGCCGACAACAACTTTGGCGACGTGAGCGCCAAGGCCACCAGCCAGACCATCTGCGCATCCATCTTGGGCACCTCCGCAGGTGGGTGGGCTTGGTCAGGGTACCGAAGCTGTGGGAAGGCAGGACTTCCACACTGGCATGGCATGCGCCGAGCCTGGCCCTGCTGCTGTGTTGCTTGTGACCCCGCCCTGCTTCACGACACATTCAGATGCAAGGCCCCTGCTTGTGCCCTGCAGGCGTGGCGCTGGCCTCGCAGGTGGGCCAGTCGGTGGGGCTGGCGCTGGGGTGCTACGCCAGCCTGGCAGCTTTCCACCTGTACACCGGCTACCTGGCGGTACGGTGCGTACCGCTGGCCACCCTCAACCCGTCCCGCCTCGAGCTGCTCATCCGCCTCTACCTGAGCCAGCAGCAGCCGCGGCAGGATGAGCAGCAGGAGCCAGTGGCGGCGGGGCAAGTGGCGCAGCCTGCAGCAGCAGCTGCAGCAGCACCACCGCCAGTAGCATCAGCAGCACGGTTTCAGAAGCAGGCGGCAGCGGGGGTGGCGGCACTGCCAACCCCCGCTGAGCTGGCAGGGGCGGACCCCGTGTTCCACCAGCCCGTGGTGTGCATAGGCACACCGCTGCGCAAGCTGGTGCAGCAGCACGGCGACCAGCTGGGGCAGATACTGCAGCAGCAAGGGCACCACCAGCAGCAGCAAATGCAGCAGACGCAGCAGCGCCAGCAGAGGGATGAGGGGTCGCCGCCGCCAACTGCGCAGCTGCACCTGCTGGTCCCAGCTGGCGAGCGCATCCACCTGCTGCTGCACGAGCAGGCAGAGGCAGCGGACTGCATCCTGGGTTTCCTGCACGCCTACCTGGTGCTGCATGGCGGCAGCAGCACCCACAGCAGTGGCAGCGGCCCAGCTGTCAAGCAAGAGCAGGGTGCAGCTGTGCCGGCGCACGCTGCCACCAGCAGCAGCAGCGGCGGCGACCCAGCGGCAAGCATGCACCACAGCCTGGCGCTCGCACGGCGCCTGCTTCCAGGCCTGCTGGCGGCGCTGGAGGCTGCCGGCTGGGATGACCAGAAGGTGGTGTTGGAAGCCAAACGGCGGCGGGTCACGTGGTGAAGACCAGCCCCCGCCTCGCATCAGCTAGTCAGAACAGACGCAGCACTTGTGACCATTGCTTTGACCCGGCTCAGCTCATTTCATTCACCCATTCGTTCTCACCGTACTGCCTTTACAGATTATTGCTTGCGGCCTGTACCTGCTGCTGCTCCGCAGCTTGCTCATGAACACTGTAAGCTTAGCTGTTCAAAATGCTGGCAACAGCCCGCTACACTGCGGCTGGCTGCACGGCGGCCGCATGCACAGGCTGCACTGCCACCGCATGGGCACGCAGCTGGCTGCCGAGCGCCCTGCTCCACCTGCACCCTGCATCTTCACATCTGCGCCTTCACACCCGCACGTCTGGAGGCCGCGAGCGCTCATCATACACGCCAAACAGGATGATAAGGGAGTAGATGGCGATGCATGAGAGGAGGGAGCCGGAGAAGAGGACCTGCGGCGGTGCAGGAGGGCGCGCTTTTTGTTGTTAAGGGCGTTGGTCGCCGGCAAGCTGCGCGCAGCAGATGTGACCAGCTGCAGCCGCCTGCGCACCTTGGCCCGCGCCTCCTGGCTGCCGCCCTGTGGCCCCGTCTCCCACAGGCCCAGGAACGTGTCGCTGCAAGGCGAGGGGCGGCGGGGCATGGCGGCGGCTACCGTGACAGCCAATCCGGCACACACAGCACACACAGCAGCTGCGTGCTTCAGGTGCTGGCTGCATTGCACATGAATCACAGTCGCAACCTGTACTGCAGCAGCTCACCAGGTGTACTGCAGCAGCACCACCAGCGGGATGAGCAGCCCGATCAGGCCCACGCGCCACTTGTGGACCCAGCCCGCCGCCAGGAAGACAGGCAGGATGAAGAGCATGGCAAAGGTGTACCAGACGTGCCACCTGGCAGGGAGGGCACGGGGCACTTGAGTGGTGGTGGAGGGGGGGGGGGGGAGGTAGCGGCAAGGGGGGGGCAACGTGGCAGGGAGCAAGGGGGGTGGGAAAGGGGAGTCCCTGCACCAGGGAGAACTGCAAGCATGTGCCAGGGGTGCGCTACACAAACTACTGGAGCGAGAGCGCAGCGCCTGGTGGGCGTACCAGGCATAATTATAGAAGTCGTCGCAGCTGATGGGTGCCTGCGGGCAGAGGAGGGCAGGCAGCAGGCAGGCTGCACCCTTGAGCGCCGAGGCGTGGACGCATGCGGATGGTGTCGGCGGGATGCTGGCAGGAGCAGGCCTGCTGGCAGGAACAGGAAGTCCACTGGATGCTGGCACATGAGGTGTCCAACCACCCGCTCACCAGGTAGCCCGCCGTGCCGGCCACGCCGAAAGCGTTCACGTTGCTGGAGCCACAGTCCTGCAGGCCAGACAGGCAAAGCGGCATGCTGTGACACGTGGCAGCAGAATGGAACAAACATGCTTCCGCAGGCACGATGCACAGAGATGAGCCAGCCAAAGCGCACATCCTGCAGGGCCGACACGCCAGCCAGCATGATGACCCAGCCCGCCCCCAGCAGCAGCCAGGCCAGCCAGGCCCAGGCCGCGGATGGCGCTTTCACGGCCATGGCGCCCTGCGGCCAGTCAGGAAGCAGCGGCCGCGAGGCGGCGGTGGCGGCGCGTGTGAGCGGCAGGCAGGCGGGCGGCCCCCCTGTCCAAGGCTGCTTGCCATGCAGTGCAGGTTCGTCTCCAGGACAGAGGCACCCGTTCCGTTAGTTCACAGCAGAGGCAACCTCACTCTGTGTACTTGCTTCCCTGTTGCCTGCTCCTCTGATGTCAGGAGGCTCAGAAGAAGGTCGTTGTTGCCTTCGAGGGGCTGGAGGCCGCACAATGAGGCCGTGCGCGCCAGAAAGAAGGTTGCCTTGTCACATCCGCTGGCGCTCCCGCTCTTTCCTCCCGCGCTGACCAGTCAACCCTCACCAACTAGCACAGCCATCCCTTTCATAAAACAGACCCAAGAGAGACAGGCGTCTAATGGCCTTGTTGATGTGTATGAATGCATGTTCAGGAGAAAGCCAGGCCGTCAATGCTAAGCAACGCTGAAGCCTCTGCCGCTTTGCCGCTTCCCTCCTATCTGTGCACAGCCCCTCGGGCTTAAGGCTGTCCCCCGCGGCTGCCCCCCATCACTCGCGGGTGGGCGAGGAGTACCCAGCCGCCTCTGCAGCGCCCCGGTTGGCCGGCGTGGCCTCGTACACGCCGCCATACGTCTCTCCCTTCGGCTCGCCTGCAGCGGCGGCGGCGGCACACAGCACAGAGCAGGCTGCCCGCTCAGATCGCACGCCATGCTGTGTGAAATTGACGGCAACACACTGGGCTGGAGCCAAGTAGGCCGGAGCCAGCTGCACGTCACATTCCGGCCCACCGGTGCCGCCGCGGCGCTCCGCGGAGCCCGCCTCCTCATCAAAAATGCCGATCACCAGCAGCAGCGTGCCGAGCGCCACGCAGGCAATGATGGAGCCAGCGAGCGTCACCCGGGCGCGCGCCTTGAGCGTGCCTGCAGCTCATCATGCACAGCGGCCGCACATGTGGCGCGGGCAGCTGCGGCTGGCGGGACAGCTGCGGGGGGCAAGGGCAGTGCCAACAACGGCTGGCTGGCTGCTTCGCTGCGGCCAAGGACGGCGGGCAAGCATGTGGCTGGGGATGAGAAGCCTCACCGCTCAAGTCCAGTCCGTTAAAGTAGCTGCAAGGGCAGGGGGCAGGGGACGGGCCAGCCCCCCCATACTTAGATCGGCGCCAGGGAGTGCCCAGGCAGGCTGCAGCACAGCGTCCGGCACCCCCATGCAGCGCTGCAGCAGGCCTTCGGCTCACAAGTAGGTGTTGGCTGTATCCATGAGCAGTACCAGCAGCGGGGACAGCAGGCCCAGCAGGCCCGCCCTGCGCAGCACGTGGGCAGGACGGCGGGGGCGCCAGGTCAGCGGGGAACCGCTGGGGGCGCGGCAGGCAGCAGAGGCGGCACAGGCGGCCTGCCGCCGCCGTCTGTTGCAATGAGGCACACGCACAGGGAGGCACACAGCACACAGCACCTGAAGGTGTGGAAAGCACGGGTGGCCGCAAAGGCAGCGATGAGGATGAGCATGGCAAAAAGGTACCTGCGGGGACGGGGGGGCGGCGGTGGGTGTGCGGGTGCGAGTGAGAGAGAGGGGCAGGGGCGGCAGTCGAGGCGACCTCGGCCGTTGCTGTGCTGCCGCTGCCGCTCAGCAGAGGCACAGCGCACGCGCTGAGCGCTATGCAGCCGCTGATGCCCCACCAGGTGATCCACCTGCAGCCACGGCAGCAGCAGAAGGTTCAGGGGTGCAGGGGCGGTGATTGCCAGGCATCCAGGACCACCGGCAAAGCGGGCAGCGGCGCTGCGCAGGCGCAAACAAGGGAGCGAGTACACAGGCGGGCTCCTATCTCACCATGTGAATCTGAAAAACTTGCTGCAGGACACTGCAAGCGGGCAGAGGGCGCTGGTTTTGATAGCATTCCGTAGCAGTATGCACGCCCCCGCCCAGCGGCAATGCGTAAGGCAGCGCGCCGCCGCTCTCCGCGCTCACCTGGTGACAGGTATGCCACTGTGCCTGCGCCGAACAGCGGCGAATTTGCGTTGCTGCTGTGGCAGTTTTGCTGCAGCGCCGCCACACCCCTGCAGGCAGGTGAGGTCGAGGGATGGGATGCGGTGACTGGGATGCGGGCGGCGGCTGCCGACAAGGCGACGCTGGCGGGTTGGTGCAGGCGGCAGGCCCAGCTGCCCACTGACGCCAGGATGAGCACCCAGGCGGCTGCTAGGAGCAGCCACAGGGGCCACACGGCCGCCGTCTGAATCTTAGAAGCCATGGACGCAGTCGCTGAGTAGGCTGGGGAGCAGCTGACGCAGGGCAGGGGCAGGAGCTGTGCACACACGCGGGAGGTGCTGGATGGGCAGATGCAGCGCTGGAAGGTGTCCAAGGCCCAACAACGTTTGCCATAAAACGAGGAAGAAAGTTCGACGGGGTGAAGCAGCTGCATGCAGGTTGTGTTCGCCTTATTGTGTTTGTCTTTGCCATTGTACTCCCAAGGCCGGATTGCGGGCGCACGGCGTCGGCGACATCCCCTACCAGACCAAGAGGCGGCGCTGGCACTGGCGCTCGGCGCTGGCGTCCTTGCCCGGAGCTGCAGATGTCCCCACCCTGGCCTGGCCTGCGGGAGCTGGAGTGGCATTGGGTTTCGGCTGTCGCTTGTGCCCCCTCTGCAGTCCCGCCATGCCGCCGCAAGCGCCACATCATCAATGGCCTTTCCTTGCCTGCGCCACACATGCCGCTCAACCGTACATGCCGCTCGACCTGCCTCACCACACTGAGGCAGACGCAGCACAGGCAGGGCAACTGTGTGCCCAAAAGGCCTCAAGTGTCTCGCCGAGTGCGGCCACGCCGTTCTCGTCATTTGCAGTGCCCCAGAGCGCTAAAATTAGGCTGGCAGCAGCTGCGGTGGCTGGGCGGGCAGCCAGATGGCGGGCAGTGCACTGCCATACGTCCTACCCCTGCTTTACAACGCCGCTGGTTTGGCCTTCCTGGTCCTTTCAAGTGGTGCCGACAAGCTGGCAGAGGCTGCTGGGCCTAGAGTCACACGAGCGGCCCCCGCCGGTGGGGGTGGCAGCGGCGGCGGCGGCGGCGGCGGCGGCCTCACCGCCACACAGCGCCAGCTTGTGTTGGCAGGGGCACTTTCGGCAATCGTGCAGGTGTGTGTGCACGTGTGTGCATCCTTCATCCAGAGGCTGGGTGGCCTGTTCAAAGGCTGTGGGGACATGCTTCAGCATGTGCAGTGGAGGCCTGCAGCCTCTGCCCAAACCAGAAACCAGAAACCAATTAATGGAAAACAATTCTATAACTTTTGATATGGAACGGTTGCCTGGCCGCCGTCCGCAGTTCTTGACTATGCTGCCCAATGCGGACGTGGAGGGGGTATGGCACAGGCTGCACGACAACATGCTCCTGGTAAGTGCTGCGTGGTGCGGTGCGGCATGCAGCCACAGTGCCTGCGCAGTGCGCGCTCCCGCCGCCCCCGCCCTGCCCTTTTCATCCTTCCCTGTCGCCTACAGCCTGCCCCAAACACCCCGCCGTTCCATCCTCGCTCCCTCCATCATCTGCCCTGCAGGGTGTCAGCACGGCCCTCGTGTTTGGGCTCCTGGTCCTGGTGCCGCTGCTGGCTCCCGCCTGGTTCCAACGCCACCGCACTCTCCTCCTGATGGCATTCTGGACTGGCTTTTTCTCTCTTCCCAACGTGTGCGCCAGACGAGCCACTTCGTTCGCCCTCAAGGCAAGCTCCCTGGGCTGAGCAGCCACATTCCAGACAGCAGCCCCAGGGCATGGCTCGCACTGCAGCCGCAGCCCGAGTCATCCCGACTGTTCTATGCGACTCCCGCCCCACCCTCTGCATCATCCTCTGCAGGAGGTGCCCGTCCTGCAGCACTTGGGCATTGTACGAGACCTCTTCCTGCTGACCCTGGGTGCGCGGTGGCCGTGTGGCGAGCGTGCCTGGGGGCGAGCAGATGGCTGCTGCTGGGTGATG